GGAAGGCTAGTAAAGAAAGTAAAAGGCCTCTCAAAAGGTTTAATAATAAATTAATGTCACAACAATAAATAAAAACACCTCTTTGAAATATACCTGTTATTAATTATTCATTACCTGTTGCTTTCCTTCTTCGTTCATCTTTTTTATCTTTTTTACTTGTATTACTGGTTTCTAAGATGGAGATTTGCTTCAGATCTTCTTCAGTGATTAAATAAACAGGGTTATTTTTCATTTCCTGAAATAAAGCATAAATAAAACTTTTTTGGTTGGCAAAGAAATAATTTCAAGTAGCACAAAATAGTATCTTTTTATACCCATATCCTTATTCTTTTGGTTTGGTTCTGTTGCTCTGAAGATCTAAAGCTTTATCTCACAAATACTACTCAGAGGTTGTTTCTGTTTGCCAAGAATCAGCTTTTTCCTTGATGTTCTTGACATTATAGCTGTTAACAGCTAACGAGAAATCCTATCTGGTCACTAAAGAACTGGATGTAACATCAAATGCAGTCTTCCTCAGTTGCTAATGTTTGCTTTTACCATCTGAACAGGGAGCCCAGGCCTTTTTCTTCTCTTTTTTGAAATTCAAGAGTCTGCTGCCCCCTTTGACACTTAAGATTACCAGAAATACAACTCTGCTTTCTATCCTTGCCATCAACCAAATTTGAACAGAAAAGAAGTCATTGTAAATACTTTTTATCATTCTTGATAATCTCTGCTTCTAAAAACTGCGTTATTAGCAATGAACTAAGTTCAAGAACTGGGGTTTTTTTTTTCTCCTGAAAAAGGATTCTACAAATTCTAAGGACAACAGAAATACTGAGAGTAATACATTGTAGGCATTGAAATTTAAGCTACAGAGCAGAATGTGTATGAGTGATTTGATGAAAAAAAGAATTAGTTTAGTAAACTTCCATTGATAGCACAAGAGAAAAACGAGAAAAATTCCAATGACAAAAGTAGATTTTCTCGCAAAAATATTATTCATTTTTGGTTTTCTTTTTCCCACATACAATTTTAACTGAGATTTTAACAAAAGTTTACTCTTTTTTGGGTCTAAAGAAACATGTTTAAAAAATGTTGATAACTCAAACAATAGAATTATCTTTTGTTTGAACTTATTTTTATGATTAAGGAGAGAAGAAAATATGAAAAATGATGACAATGCTAATTTAAATAAAGTCTCCATTTAGTAACAAGTTGCTACTATGCTTGATATTTTATGGACATCTTCATTTATCTACATATATCTAATACTTACACATATTCCTCATAATATTTACATGTATCGTTTTGGGAGTAGGTGCCACCATCAACATCAAGAAAGCAGGGCTCCACTTGTCCAAATAATAGAGTAGAAGAATAATGAATTATGTTACTGTTGTTACACGTCATCAAGTCAGCTACAACTCACTGCACTCTATGAATAATGAAACTGAACTTTGCCCTATCTTGTCCCTTCGTTTTCATTTCTGTTGTACTTGAGCCATTGGTGCAGTTACTATGTCAATCCATGCCATTTTTCAAGGTTAAATGTAAAAAGACCCATCTCACTTTCAGAGTATTAAAATGTTGATGCTGTGTGCTGTCGAGTAGGAACTGATCCATAGCTGATCCTCCAGCAAGTTTATAGAGGCAGTTTAATCACACAAGAGCAGACTCCCATGGAGCAGCTGGTGAATTCAAGCTGTGTGCTTGTTGACAGCGGAATTCCTTACCACAAAGCGACCAGATCTCCCGTAAAAAGCCTATAGATAAATAGAAATCACAGGGAAGCCCTGAGCCAGAATTCTATAGGATTGTCTTGGTGTCCAGGTCTCGGAAGTGCTCTGTCTTGATAAGGTGCAGCCTTACTACTTTTTGACCACTTGTTTTTGTGGAAAATATTTGAGCTTTCCTTTTTTTACATGTTTTTGTCTTTTGCAACTTTTATTGTATGTCATATGTCACAAGGCCTCATTAATTCATTAACGATATACCTAAATGAAGTGTTCTTGTTCTATTTTAGAGGGGATTTTACAAGCAAATTGTACCATAAACTTGAAATATGAACTAAATAATTCCAAAAGACCCAAAATAAGACTTTTACTTCAAAACACTCCAATATTAGTTGCTATAAGAAAGTGACCAATTTTGAAAGTAACAGAAGTTTTTTCCTCAGGAAATATATCCTGCTTACATACTGCAAGAGGTAAAACTCATGCAATCCTGTTGAGTTTCATAAATACACTATGTACTGACTGATACACTGATTTATATGCATAATTTGCAAATAAAACTTTTATGTATTTGATATTTTAAAGTTAGAGCAATGCCTTCAGCTGACTTAACTGTAAAGTGTCAATTTTATGTGATTTATATTCATAGACTCTGTTTCCCATATTCTAACTTTTATGTTCAGATAGGAAGGAAAAGAACAAATCTAGAGGAGGGAAAAAAAGATTTGATATTTGAGTAAAATGATATATGGTAAAAGTGATCACTTTTGGATATTCTGCATATGCCATTTTCCTAAAGTCATGAAATGACTGTAATGTTAAAACACCATTAAGATTAAGAAGAAAGGAAATCAGGAATACCTTTTCAGCTTTTTGGTGCATCAGTTCACTGAACAGTTCTATACAGTCATTTATAAATTTTTCACTGACTACAACAGTGTCACTAAAAACAACAGCTGAAGCCTGTTTGCTGAATGCTCTCATCACTTGTTGAAGCAACATTGCCGCATCTTCAACTGACAAAGAACTGGGTAGCAGAGGCTAGAATAAAAACAAAACAAACACACATACACAAAACTAAGAATTAAAACAAAGTATAAATACAAAACACACAAACCATGTGCTATCCACATGTTCTCTCTAGGTGATCTCTTTAAGTCCAGAGGCTTCTGGAACCATTTATATATGCTGACAACCATCCAAGTAGTATTTTCAGTTTTATCATCATTACTAGTTATTGAAGCATATATATCCTACTGTCTATCTTCTCCTGCTTACATGCCTAATAAAACCCACTGCTATTAAGCTAGTCTCAACTCCTAGTAGCCCTCAATTGGGTTTCTGAGGCTGTAAATCTTACAGGAGGGGACTGCTCATCTTTTTCTCACTAAATGTACGGTGGAATTGAACTGCCGACCTTTTGGTTATCACCTCGTATATTACACACTACCAGGTATACTGTTATGTGTCATCTATTCAGAACCAACTCATAGTGGACCCTCTAGTGTATTCCAGAGGCTATACATTGCAGGGGAGGAGACTGACCATCTTTCTCCAGAGGAATACTTGGTGGATTAGAACTATGTGCCTTTGGGTTGGCAGTGCAACTCTTTATACAACAGGCCACCAGAGCTCCTTTTATATCTAACAGATGGCCTGCTGGTGTCAATGCTGTTGTTGTTAGATGCTATTGAGTTGAGTACGACTCATAACGAGCCTATGAACAAAAGATCTGAACCTAGTTTTATCCTGCGCCATCCTCACTCTTTTTGACACACAAGGGCCCACTGCAGCAATTACCATGTCAATCTACCTGATTGAGGGTATGCCTATCCTTTGTCAACCATCCATCCTTCCCAACACCATATCCCTCTCCAAGGACTAGCACTTCCTAGCAAGATGTCCAAAGTATGTGAGGCAAAGCCTCATAATTCTTGCCTCCAAGAGCACTCTGGCTGCACTCTCTCCAAGACATAGATCCATCACAAGATGTTCATTCTCTTGGCCACTCATGGGATATTCAGCACCCTTCTCCAATACCACAGCTCAAAGGTGTCAATTCTTTTTCTGTTATATATATTCACTGCCCAGGTCTTGGATGCAAAGCTAGTAATTAGAAAGACTATGGCCCAAATCAGACACACCTTAGTCCTTAAACTGACATCACTACTCCTTAATAATTTGGAAAGATCCCTAACTGCAGATTTTTCTAGTGTAATGTGTCTCCTTATTTCCTTGCATCAATGGTGTTAGTTATGGATCCAAGCAAGATGAAGCTGCTGATAGTTCTAATCTCCTCTCCATCCATCATGACATTCCTATTGGTCTAGTGGTTAAGAATCTTTGTTTACTTGATATTGAGACACAATCCATACACAAAGCTGCATTCCTTGATCTTCTACAAGTGCTTCAAGCCTTCCTCACTTTCAGAAAGTAAGGGTGTGTCATCTGCATAATCCAGGTTATTGATGAATCTCCCTCCAATCCTGATGTGACATTCCTCTTCACTGGTGCCAACAGATGTCTCCAAACTAATGTTTGAAACAACAATCCTCATTTGCAATCACCTATCCCTGGACTTACAGCCTCTATCTCTTCTTCCAATAATGGTACCACTCTATACTTAGATGATCAAGGCCTAAACCTAAAAGTCACATTCAGGTTCCTCTCTTTCACACCCACAAACAATCTACCAGCAAATCCTAACAACTTCACCTGTAAAACTTTTTTCTTAACACTTTTCTCTCATTATAATTTTCAATGACTATCATCCCTCAGCTAGTAGAATGGTGACCGCCATATTGTTGTTACATGTCACTGAGTTGCTTGCAACTCAAGGCAACCCTATACACAACAGCTCTGAACCCTGCCCTGTCCTGAGCCAGTCTCACTGAATCCGACACACCTACCCCCACCACACCAGTTACTGTACCAGTCCATCTCATCTAGTGTCTGTCTTTCCTGCACTGTCCCTCCCCACCCTTCCAAGCATGATATACTCCTCAGTGTGGTCCCCCCTGGCCACATTCCCATGTGTTACATAAAGTATGTTAGATGGAGCTTCAACATTCTAGCCTCCAAGGTGAAACTTGGTTTCAGCCTCTCCAAGACAGTCTTATTTGTTTTCTTGGTGTTCCATGTTATGTTCAAGACTCTTCTCTAGCACAGCTCACAGGCACCGATTCTTCTTCTGTCATCCCTAGTCATTGTATAGCTCTCTGATGCACAGCAAGTAATTGCAGAGACCATGGCCTGGATCAGGCACACCTTACTCTCTGGACTGACATCATTAATTTTCAGTACTCTGTAGGGACCCTGACAGAGGATTTTAACAGTGCAATTTTATCAATTAATTTCCTGCTGGTGCCAAGAGTGTTGACTGTGGAGCCCAGCAAGCTGTAACTGTTAACAACCTCAATCTCTTCTCCTTCTATCATGGTGCTGAAAATTGGCCCAGTGATACAGTATTTAATAGTATTTGTAAGTCCACCTATTTAAAATACTTAAATCTGGAAACTGGCAACTGGTATATCCAAAAGAGGTTAATTCCTATCTTATAGAGACAAAACAGCAGGTCTTTTGTTTCTTCCTCTTCATATAACTATCTTTGGGGATAATGAAGGTCTGGTCACAAAGTACTAACAATATGCTAAAGTACATTGTGATAATATACTAGGAGTTAATAGAATCCATCAGTTTCTCTGTGATAAATGGGCAGTGTCCTCCATATAGACTTACATATAATCTCCTATGTAGACCTACATTCTAGAAAAACAGACATAGAGTAACTATGAGTCAGAATCAACTCTGCAACAATGGTTTTTGTTTGTAATTAATAAGGGATAAATACTATAGTAGGTCTGGTCTCAATACAGCTGTAAATAACTGAATAAAATTATTTTAAGTTTTCATTTCCATAGTTTATATGGCATGACTGATATGAGTCAATGAAAACACATATGGGTTTTGAGAATTTTGGATGTTGACTGACTACACAAAGATCATTATTTTATACCTTAACATCTAGAATTTAATGTAAAATAATTGAGATTATTTTTGTTGAAACAATGAATTATAATTTTGCTCTAAAGTAAAGACTACCTTCGTATCTTAAATGGACAGTATTATTAGTGAAACATCACTTGTCGTAGGTTTAAGGAAAAAGGAAAAAGATAAAACATACTGCAATATCAACCCAGGTTCCAGAGCTGATGGCTTCCTCTACTGATGCTTCCACCTGATCCACAAGTCCCTGACCAACACAAGCTGCTTTCAAAAACAAGAGCTGTGTATTCTTATATCTTTTTTTTATGTAGCTTACAGCATCTGGGATTCCAAGTCTGGATAAAGCATCAAATTCTAGAAACAGAGCAGAAAGGTAAAACAGTGTAAAAAGGACTGTCAATCACTTATAGCTTTAAGCTGAAATGTTAAGAAACAGTTCTCTAAAAAAGCCCATTTTTTTAGATTGTAAATAAATTATAGTTCCATTTTTTTCTTTTAGAAATAAAGCATAAACATATACTATAGCCTAGTTCCTAACAAATCCTAATACTTAGTGTTGCAAAATTTTAATATTAAACATATTTTATAAAAAGCAAACAACTGGCCCAAGTAAACACTCAATATTAGCTTTGTAACTCCTCCAACTGAGAAGTCCAAGGAGAGGACATGAGCACCAAAGAGCAATAAAAGCATGCCTAGGAGGAGGCAACGTAATGAATAGTGAGAAAGTAACTGGAATTTTATTATTAGAACTCATTAAGGAAATAGAATTTCACTTTCCAAATGTTTCATTAGACAGTTAAAGTTATTTTGTAGTCTGGTGGCCTAGTGGTAAGGAGCTGCACTGTCAATTCATAGGCAAGCATTTCAAATCCACCAGCTTCTCCATGGGAGAAAGATGGGCAATCCCCTCCAGTGCACTATACAGCCTTTGAAAACTTGCTGAAGGGTCAGATATGAGTTGGTTCTGACTCAATAGTCCTCAATAATTTAAATTAGAAAATTTTATCATTTAAAACAAAGTAAAAAATAACCATTAACATAGGCAAGAATTTAGTTGTAAGAGTTACAATCCAAGTCCATATTGGTTGAAGAAAACACTAGGGAAAGTGAAGAAACAAGCAAATATTTAAACATTATGTTATTGTTGTTGTTATGTGTTGAGTCAGAACAGACTTCTAGTTAATCCTCCTGGTTTTCAGAGGCTGATATGTAAATATATATATATATATATATAAAGAGGGGCATATTGAAACATGCTAAATGACATTTTTTTTTTCAAGGTTTTTAAATTACTAAAGCCAATTAACTTTATTCAAATGATAGTAAGAGGACAAAACCAAGAAGGATTGGAATAACTTCAATTATTTTTTAAATTCTAACAAAGATGGACATTAAAAACATTGCTGGTCAAGAAGATATTTCTAAGAATATATAACTGAAAATATAAGCAACTTCCTGAAATATTAGAAGAAAGAACTATAATCAACTTGTATGAATTAAAAATAAAAACTTGTAGCATTATTGCCTTGTTGCTGTCAGGTGCCTTGAGTCGAGTATGATCCATAGTGTCTCTATGAACAACAGCTCTGAACCCGTGCTATCCTGTACCATTCTCACAATTTCTGACACACTCAACCCCATTGTAACAATCACTGTGTCAGTCCATCTTGTTCTTCCTCCTGTTTGCCGACCGTCCACCTTTCCAAGCTTGTGTCCCTCTCCAAGGACATGTCTTAAGTATATGGCAAAGCTTTATTATCTTCCCTCAAAGGAAGGCTCTGGCTGCATTTTCTCCAAGATAGATTTGTTTGTTTTTTTGGCAGTTCATGGGATACAAAGCACTCATCTCCAACAACACTGCTCAAAGGTATCAATTCTTGTTCTGTAATTCTTATTCACACATCAAATCTCAGATATGTATCAAGTGATTGATAAGACCATGGCCTGAATCAGGCACACCTTGGTCCTCAAACTGATAACAGTACTCTTCAATAATTTGTAAAGGTCCCTGACAGCAGTCTTTTCCAGGACAATACATCTTCTGTCTCCTGATTTCCTGACTGCTGGTACCAAGTGTACTGACTGTGGATCCAAGAGTTGCCAGTTTCAATCTTTTCTCCATCTAGGAGGATGTTGACTATTGCTCCTATGGTGAGAATTTTTGTCTTCTTAACAGTGAGATGCAATCTATAATGAAAGCTACAGTCCTTGATCTTCTGCAGCAAGCACTACAAGTACTCATGTTGAGCAAGTATGAGTATGTCATCTGCATAACAAAGGTTATTGATGAGTCTTCCTCCAATCCTGATACCACAACTACTTGAATAATTGGCTCAGCATACAGATAATTAGGTATGAAGAAGGGATACCACTCTGATGCATACCTTTCTTAATTTTAAACCATGTAATGTTCTCTTGCTCTGTTGTACAATAGCCTCTTGTGTCTAGGTATAGGTTTTGCATAAGCATAATTAATTACTTTGGGATTCCCATTCTACTCCATGTTAAACAAAATGTGTTATGACCTACAGAGCTAAAAGCCTTTTTTATAGTCAATAAAGCACAAATAAGACATTCATCTGGTAGTCTTTGCTTTCCTCCAGGATGCATCTAACATCAGAAATGATATCCCTGGTGCCATGGCCTCTTTTAAATCCAGCCTGAACTTCTAGTAGTTCTCTATGTATTATTCTAGCTGTTTTGAATGACATGATACTAATAACATTGTTTGATAATATTATTAATATCACATGCAAGCACAATACTGTTTGCTTGCATAAAATATTAATTATCACACTGCCTTAGTGTTATTGAAAAAGCCTTTTTGTCTTTTTACTTTTAATTGTTTAATGACTATGGAATTACATTCAGTTCTAAGATCTGAAAATCTGTAGTAGGACTACCTTTACTCTCAAAGAAAACCATTATAATCTGTTAGTGAACAGCAAATAAACAGTGTATGGAATTAAGGTAGTACAATATTTTCTAAAAATATGCTTAGTTTCATGTACAGTAAAATAGTTACCTAGATAGCCATTCTGCCTGAAAAAGGAGTCCACCCAAGTACTCTGTGTCCTTGAGTAGATGTCAGGGATGAACACAGCTTTGTCTTGTCTCCCACCAACCACAGTACCGCGTAAGCGTCCACTATTAACAAGTTCTTCAAGCACAGCTTAAAGTAAACCCATAAATATATAGATCAGAACAGGCATAAATCGCAAAAAGAAAATGTCCTATTTCATAATTCAGTTATGACAATCTTTTTAAAACACAATGTTTATCAGCATAAAGAACTATTTCAGTCAAAACTTTCATGTCATTTATGAAAATACACAGGCCACAGATTCAGGTGAACTGTGATAACAGACTATAGGTGTTAAAATTGCAACAAAAACTGGTAGATACTAACATCATTTGTTTTTGTGATTTGATTAAAAGTAGAAAAAAACAAGCATGCCATTAACTATTTTGATCTTTTTTAAAATCAGATTAATACTTTGGAAATAGACAATATGCAATCACTAAGGAGTTCCAATGGCTTAGTGGTAAAGAATTGTGCCGACAACCCAGAAGTATGTAGTTCAAATCTACAAGCTGCTCCACAGGAGAAAAATGGGCAATCTCCCGTGCTATTTACTGCCTCTGAAAACCTACTGGAGGGTCAGTTATGAGTTGGGTCTGACTTGACAGTATTCTGTAATAAAATTGTTAATCAAGTTCAATTTTCTAAATATTAGAAAATTGAAGAACTCTAGATCAAAGGAGAATCAGCAGTGTAAAATGAAACCATTGTGCTTCTGTTATTTAACTCAAACAGCTCACTTCACCTTCCTACGCGGCTGTCGTTAGGTGCCTAGGAGTTAACTACCCCTGTGAACAACAGATCAGAACTCTGCCTCACCCTGCACATCATCTTGATTAGGAACATGCATTCTGGAGCCAAACACCTTAAATCTCAACATTGCCTTTTACTAGCTGTGAAACTAGCTCAAGACATTTAACTTCTTTATTCATCCATCTTATTTTATGAAATCGTAACAGTAACATTTTAATTTTAAACAAAAAGTTATTTTTTCACTTCTATTATTTTACAAAAACAAAACACCCAACAACAAAATAGTTAACGAACACTAAATTTTGGTTCTCTGCTTAAAATTAGTTTCATTTTCATTTTGACATTTGTATAAACATAGGAGTTGAAGGCAGTCACTACCCTTAAAAATCATTTGAGAAAAGCTGTAGTTGGAGTGTTTGCCACTTGGAATCAATGTAGTTCCTAGCAACCCTATAGACAGAGTAGAACTGCACATTAGGGTGTCTGGGGCTACAATTCCTACAGAAACAGATTACAAAATCTTTTTTTGTGTGAGCAGCTAGTTAATTAAAACATCCCACCTTTGGTTAGGAGCTAAACTCTTAAGTACTGTGCCATCATGGCTCCTCCAAGGAAAATTTAAAAAATAACAAAAGAAGCCAAAATCCCAAGAGTTTAACAGTACACATTCAATTATACCTTTAGCTACCATTACTTTAAAGATATTAACTATTATGCTGCTTGAAGGTCAACTATATATTTTTATTGCTATCCTTAGTAAAAATTTTTTATAAAATATATACTTTCATATTAAAAAATACAGTTAAAACTGTAAGATACAAAATGAAACGTTTTATTAATCACAATCTTTTTTTAAAAATCTCATGTATTTGTATATATAATGGAATACTCTCCATATTTGACTTGTTTTTTAATTCTATTATTCTGAGAGCAACCAGTACTAAATGTTTAAAGGTATACAAAGGAAAAATTAGTTATAAAATTTTTTTCTTAAAATTAAGGACTAGGGCTTCTAAAATTTCTAAATTTTATGACAGTCATTCATTTAGTCATATATAACTTAAGCCAAACTCACAGTAAAGGAGCTGCTCCTGAAATCCGTATTTTGAAATCAAAGGATTAACTGCTGTAGGCCTTTATGGACATGAAAAAGGAAACAAAGCACAATCACTTTCTTGTTACTCAGCAAACTGTGACATATATGCATGAACTACAATAGTGTACTGTCGAGTCAGAAACAACTCATAGCTGACTCTCCAGTAAGTAACTGTTAAAAAGATCAATTAATTAAAAAAGAAAATTGACATTAAAATAACTGCACTGAAGTTTAAATCCTTATTGGAGGCTGCAGTCCTTGACCCTCTGCAGCAAGCACTTCAGGTCCTCCTCAGTTTCAGCAAGCAGGGTTGTGTCATCTGCATAATGCAGATTGTTGATGAATCTTCCACCAATCTTGACACCACCCTTCTCCTCATAGAGCCCAGACTCCCAGATAATCTGTTCTGCATACTGGTTGAAAAGGTATGGAAACAAGACACATCCCTGCCGTACGTCCTTCACAATTTTGAACCATGCAGTGTTCCCTTGCTCTGTTCTGATGACTGCCTCTTGGTCCAAGTTCAGGTTTTGCATTAGCACGATCAAGTGTTCTGGGATTCCCATTCTTCTCAGAGTCAGCCACACAGAGTATGGAAATTATAGAACAATAGCACTAATATCACATGTAAAATCCTGCTGCAGCTTATTAAAAAAAATGACCGGAACAGTACATCAACAGAGAACTGCCAGAAGTGCAAGGTGAGTTTAGAAGAGGCTGAGGCACTAGGGACATCATAGACAATGTCAATGGATCTTGGCTGAAAGCAAAGAGTAAAAGAGGAATGTCTATCTGTGTTTCATTGATTATGCAAAGGCATTGGACTGTGTGGATCGCAATTGATTGTGGCTAACCTTGAGAAGAATGGGAATCCCAGAACCCATTATTGTGCTCATACAAAACCTATACGTTGACCAGAAAGCAGTCATTAAAACAGAGCAAGAAAACACTGCATGGTTCAAAATCAAGAAAGAAGTGTGTCAGGGATGTGCCCTTTCATCATACTTTTTAAATCTATATACAGAACAGATTATTTGGGAGGCTGTCTATTATAAGGAGGAATGTGACAAGAGGACTGGAGAAAGGCTGATTAACAAACTGTGTGAGGCAGATGACACTACCTTGCTTGCAGAAACTAAGGAAGAACTTAAAGCATTTGCTGCCAAAGGCCACAGACTACAGTCATCAATATGGCCTGAAGCTCAACATCAAGAAAACAAAGACTCTCACTACTGGGACGTTTGGTAGCACCACAATAGATGGAGAAGAGACTGAAGTTGTTAACAATTTCAGCTTCCTCAGTTCCACAATCAAAACCCTTGTCACCAGTAGTCAGGAAATCAATTGAATTGGGAAAATCTGTCCTCAGGGACCTCTCTAGAGTGATAAAGAGCAATGATATCAGTCTAGAGACTAAGTTGTACCTGATCTAGGCTATGGTCTTTGAAATTATTTGCTACACATCAGAAATCTGGACAATAAATAAGGATGACAGAAGAATAGATTCCTTTGAGCAGTGGTGCTAGTGAAGAATACCATGGACTGCCAATAAAACAAACAGGTCTGCCTGGAGACAACAAAGCCAAGTTGCTCCTTGGAGATAAGGATTTTGAAACTCTGTCTCATACTCTGGGCATGATGCCAGGAGGGACCAATCCCTGGAGAAGGACATCATGCTTGGAAGGGAAGAGGGTCAGCACAGGAGAGGGAGACCCTGCATGAGATGGATACAGTAACTGAAATAATAGAGGTAGAGAGACAATGAGACTGGCTCAGAACACAGCAGGGTTCAGAGCTACTATACATAGAATTGTTGTAATTCACTGGCAACTAGACCACACATAACAACAAAACAATGATGATTATAAATAACAATACCCTTGTTCATAGAGAAAACAGAATATTTGTGAAAATGTCAGCATTTTACTCTCAAAATTAGGTCAAAGATAAAAAATATATCACTAGTAATTTTTCTTTAAGTTTGAGATTGTGAAAGGAAAAAAAGAAAGGAAGGAGATTAGTATGGAACTGTGTCTCCCAAAATACATGCTATATATTCTCACTTCTATACCTGTAAGTATAATTCCATTTGGGAATAAGGAGGCAGGATTTGTAAAGGCCATCTAATTTAAAAAATTCAGATTTAACCCAGAGGCCAAGCAGAGATGGAGGAACTCAAGCTAGTTAAAGACTATATAGGAGCAGAAATTCCAAAGAGACAAGCCTTCCCGAGAGCTAAGAGCAAAACCTAGAATTTAGAGTTCCAGGCTCTTGTTGAGAAAATAAAATTGTTTGTCATAGCCATCCGTTTGCAGTATTTGGTACAGGAGCACTTGATAACTGAGACAGGAAGACAAAGAAGAAAGAGAAGAAAGGAAGGACCTGATCTGTAGCGTTACACTGCACGTTCTCCTTTCTAAACTGACTGGGTCTTCAATGGTAGGATATGTGTCCCTGAAGGCAGAATTCTTGTCATTTGTTTTTTGACCCTTAATTCCTGGCATGTATTACTGACTGAAGCTCACCCACTAATGACATCCATTTGGTGGCCTTCCATTGGGTTTCTGAGATTCTAAATTTATAAAGGAATCTTTCTCCCATGGAATGGCACATAGATTAGAATTATCAACCTTTCATTTAGTAGTTTGATATGTTACACACCGCATCATCAGTGCTCCATCTGGCATGTATTATTAGATGGATCAATAAGTGCCTGCTAATTTGGAATGACAAAAAGAAGTTAGTATGGTAACCAAGCAAAAAACAACTTGAAGATGGTTAAAAGTAAAAGAGAGCTTGGTCTGAAAGCTACAGGTACAGTCCAGCTGAAAAATGGACTGATGTAGTCATAATAGTGATGTCAGAAAATTACTTACATATCTATTTACAGTAAAAATTGAAAAGGGGGAAGAGGAGAGGGACAGGATGGTATAAAAGATGAATTCTAGATTTCTAGTAAAACAATTAAATGATAGCATTTATGGATAATGAGAACATAAAAGGAAGAGTACATTCAGCCAGGGGCAGGGGTGGTCCAGAGAGGATGTTGTATTTAAAATAAACATATTTATTAGGCAGCTGTAAAATATTTAAGTAGCTATGTATGAGTCTGAAGTTTATAATACAAGTAAAATTACCCAGGAAGATCATGTAGAACCAAGACAACCAGAGCCAAAGAAGAAGAAATAGATGATTTCTACCAAGTCTTACAGGCAGAGATAGATCGAACATGCAATCAAGATGCATTGATAATAATGGGCTACTGGAATGCAAAAGTTGGGAATAAGGAAGAAGAATCAGTAGTTGGAAAACATGGACTTGGTGACAGAAATGAAGCTGGAGATAGAATGATTGAATTTTGCACAATCAATGACTTATTCATTGTAAATACGTTTTTTAAGAGACATAAACGCAGGTTATACACATGGATTTTACCTGATGGTATGCATAGGAATCAGATTGATTACA